GTATACTACCAAGCAAGAAAAGTAACTGTCAGTCATATCTGCTGCGACCATTGCGACTTACAAAAGCCTCTGGGCTGGCAAGACACGGCCCCTGCAGCAATAGCGGCGTGAGCATCGCTGGAGTAAACGTAACCAACCACTTTTTCATTGGATTTGTCTCACGTCACAAGATCAAGCCCAAACCCATTATAAGGCCAAGGACCTATGATGAGACAGGTCTTAGGCCCTAGGCAAGAACCTATTACTGTAATTCTGCTAAATAGACAAAATATTAAACTGCGCACTAATGATTTAGGGTTAAATACATAGATAGATGCCTCTCTCCACCCACTTTTCTACTGTATGGTTGGTTGTGTCTCCCAACAGCACAAGCTGCCAGCTTATCCTCACTGTCAGAGTGCTGGGTGGCAGAGTCCTTCTGAGAGGATTAGTGTCTTTCCGAAAGAGTCATGAGAGAAGCAACCCTGCCTCCTAATGCTCTCTCCCTCGCACGAGCTAGCTTGTCCTTCTGTCACACAGCACCGTGACTCACACGCAGTACTGTGTTGCAAAGACCCTTGACAGGCTCCCGCATCATACTCGAGCTTCCCACCCTCCAGATAGATCTCTTTTCTTATAAAGTACCCAGTTTGGTCTTCTCCTATGGTGACAGCCTCTTAGACAAGTCTTATCTTAAGACAGACTATTTCTGGCGCACACACACACACACACACACACACACATACACACACACAGTGCAGGCTCAGTTTCTATTTCCCCTGGAATCGCCATTTCTTCAAAGGACCCTGCACTTACTCGCTCAGCCCTGTGACAAGCATGAAGTAGTTACAGAATAACCTCTGGGGAGAACTGGAGTGTAATATTTGTGTGCAGGGTTTTATGCCCCGAGCATTGGGTTCTATCATCAGAACAGCACATCCCAGAGCTGACAGGATGTCGGACCAGTGCCTTTCAAGAGTCAAGGAGAGAAAGGCCGTGGGTTGTTGCAGGTAGGAAGAGAGAGCAAAGAAATAGCAGCTGGATCTCGGTCTAGCTAGGATATTTATGAGATAAACGGGTAGAGTTAGATAAAGTTGCCAGGTTAATATCAGAGTTGATCAGGGTTGGGGGTGCAGCTTACTGGTAGAGTGTGTGCCTAGCATGTGCGAGACACTGGCTTCCACGCTAGGAACAGACAAACAGCATACAGTCAAAGCGAGCCTCTTGCTTTGATCAGTCATTGTACCAGAGTCAAACTAGGGTGTGGGGAGGGGGTCATATATTATATATTGTAAATAAGAAAGAAAGAAAGAAAGAAAGAAAGAAAGAAAGAAAGAAAGAAAGAGAAAGAAAGAAAGATGACCACACTTACAGACTGGCTGCAATTTCTGTAATTTGGCCAGAGAACAACTTTGTGTCTGGTTATTTTTTATTCAGGCGTGTGGATCAAGTTGTGCTAGCAAGTCCTTTCTTGGCGTTTAAGCAGAAAGTAAACATGCAGAACGAGGCCTTGGTTAGCATCAGTGCTAAAGCCGGAGCCGTGTCCTGCGCTCTGGGAAAGACATTTATGGATGGGAGGGGTCGTGTAAAGGAAAGAAAGCTGGTGGTTTTCGAGTTTTATTTCAGCCCAAAGTTATTGATAATTTAACAGGTTCTTGGGAGATGAAGCAGCAGAACTTAGTGCGTCGTCCCCGAGTCCACAGACAGGATGACTCCAGACATTCCCTGCTGGCTCACACATCTGAAGTCACCCGATTTCAGAAATCAAATTGATGGTCAATTGAAAGAAAAGCTCTAGACTAGGTGGGGGTTCAAATCCATTTAAGGGGTGCTAGTTATGAAGTGAAATGCTATCTTCATCAGCCTTTCAGGTCATTGTAACTAGACACCGATGCCTTAAAATTTATAAAACTTTTATTATCCTAATAGCTAAGGCAAATTAATTACCGCTGTTGCTGTGCTGTACTAGAGTTTAATGGCCTTACAAATTAATTGCAATTCGGCTGCTCTACCACCATCCTGTGGCCACATGTCTCTCTCCTTCAGGCCCTACGTCTGGTTTGGCAAAGCTACTGCGTCAACCTAGAACGTCTCTCACAATCTCTTTTCTTTCCGGCTGGTTCAGCTCTGCCCAGTGATTTTCACATTCTTTGTGTGCAAAACAACTTGAATATGTCTAATTATATTAGACTTATTAAATCATAAGGCTTTTAATATATCTAATCAGGGCAAGATACCCCTATGCCCATCCTTAGAGCTGGATGCTTGTGCTGACTTACAACTTGAGCTGTGGTTTGATGGAGCAGGATTTGCTAATGGAAGGCAAATTTGTCATGCCCCTAAGGCAAGGACTATTTAAGTCCATTAGCAGGCAAGATCCCTGCCATCACAGATCTGTCGGCTGCAGAGTTGGCCTGTTTGTCCTCTGGTTGAAGCAGAGGCAGATGTCTTTGGCCTTCCAGAGAGGCTCCCTTAGCAGAGGAACCACAGCTCTGCAGCTCCAAGCTCAAGGCAAGGGTGGGCGTGATCCCACTTCTTCCTCTAAGAGAAGGCTGTGTTTTCAGCATCTCGGGACAACTTTTTCAAGAAGACTCCAACGTCTCTGACTCATTTCCAAATGCATACAACAGAGACTCCACTTCAACTAGAGATGCCCTTTAAACACAATGGGAGAGGCTTAGGAATCCCTGTCAAGCGGGGAAATTGAGGAGATGCAAAGTAAGACTGAGACAGAGCTAGAATCAAGTCACGGCATTGCTGTGCAGGGCAAGGCATCAGACCATGAGACATATGTGGTTCAAAAAATAACTGTCATTTCTTCTACATTATGTGTTTACTGGGTACTACACAAGATAGTATTGTTTCTACTCTATTCTGAGTTTTCCCTGTCTAATCCCACGCAACATAATGCTCAGAAGTTTTTTTAAAATGATTTAAGAACATTAACCCAACAATGAGTTGCAGCCCATTGATCAAAAAGCCTGAAATAGGATACAACAGAGTAAAATCAGCTTTTGGGGTGGTAATACTGACTGAGAGCTATTCCGTTATTTCCCCGAAATGACCAAAATATCCATCTCTCCATCTGGAAGTGGATTTTCTATTTGGCAGGTCACTGTATAAAATACAATCTCACACACACACACACACACACACACACACACACACGAAATAACATACACACAATTAGCGTTTTTAACTCCTTGCCTAAGTGGGTGCCCTTGAATTTCATTTGCTTAACAGATCTGAGGCAATTTGCAATTGCCCTGAGTTTCAGGTCAGCCTGGGCTACCTATTGAGTTCCAGGTTAACTCAGACTACACTGCAGGGTTCTGTTTCAAAACAAGCAAGCAGGCAAACAAACAAACAAACAAACAGAAAACAAGTTAAAAAAAGATCCTGGCTCAGCATGGTGGCACACACCTGGGACACACTGTAAAATCCTGTCTTGGAAAAAAAAAATCTCTTGACAATTCAATGACAGGGATCCCACTTTCAGAAATACTGGGCGGATAGACTTGCCCTCAGTCACGGACCCGGGAGGCTGCCAATGCTGGCAGGCAGGTCAAGGAGGGCCAGTTCCGCCTTGCACTTTGCCTCCTGTGTGGAGCAAGCAGTGCACATGGTGAGCCAGGTTTCCCTCACAGGATGACATTCTGTCTGCTCGGTCTCATCAGGTGACAACACAGGAATATCTGACTCAGCCTCTAAAGGTTCAGCCAATGGCGGAAGCTGGCGCAGGCGTGAATTCCACTGTCCCTTTGGCCATCTCTCCTCTAACACAGGACACCAAGGCACTGAACCAGCCCAAGGAGCCCGAGCACCAGGAACACGCCCAAGAAAAGACAGCAAGCTGCAGGGCAGGGATAAATATACAAAATCCAAGGGGCTAGCCTTGTGGCCAGTGCATCTTAAATCAGAGTTTCTACTCAACAGTCACTCGGCAATCCAGTGCTCGCCATGTGAGGCGGTAACTGAAACCTCCAGGGTAATCTCACCGGGCTTCACCAGTCTCAGAAAAAGGCCTGGGGACTTTGTTTAAGGTTCCAGGGCTTGAATAAAAATAAATGAGCTGGGCGGTGGTGGCGCACGCCTTTAATCCTAAGCACTCAGAAGACAGAGGCAGAGGCAGGTGGATCTCTGTGAGTTTGAGGTCAGCCTGATCTACAGAGGGCCAGAACTGTTACATAGAAAAACCTCTATCACGAAACTCACTCCCACCCCAGCCTCTGCAGCTGCCAAAAAGAAAAATAAAAGTAAAAGTGACCCCTTTCTTTAAGGTTATCATGTTTAAATTGTTCTTACTAACTGGGCACCAAAGGAAAACATTCGCTTCAGAGGAAGAGAGAGAAATACAACATAGAGACATGAAGTTCAGTTGTAACTTGTCTCTGAAAATCATTAGTGTGGGCCAAAACTTGTGGTAATTGTTACTGACCCTTGAGAGGGACCATTATGTACTTGCTTAAATTATGTCCCCACTGCCCAGCACAGTGCCTGGTACATGCTATGTGTTCAACTCTGCTTTATTCTTACTTAAAAGAAGATTTATCTATGGATTTGTTTATCTATCTATTTATCTAGTCATATAAATTCTTGCTTGTATGTATGTATGTATGTGCCCCATGTGCATGTCTGGTGCCCGTGGGCACCAGAAGAGGATGCTGGATTCTCTAGGGAGATCTAGCGTTACTGACAGCTGTGAGCCGCCACGTGGTGTCGAGAATCAAACTTGGGTCCTCCAAAAGAACTGCATGTGCTGTTCATTCCAAATGAAAACCAAGTCATCTTTTCATTCTCTTATTTTTTTAATTAATTAACTAGTTAATTAATTAACTTTCAGATAGGCTCTCATGTGCCTAAGGTGGGCCTCAAACTCAAGATGTAGCAGAAGATAACCTGGAACCCCCGGTTTGTCTCTAGTTGCCCAGAGCTGGGATTACAGGCACAAGCCTCTGCGTCTGACTTCTTCAGTGCCGGGATGAAACCCAGAGCTTTGTCCAGGCCCGGCAGGCTCTCTATCAACCAGCTGCATCCCCGGCCCCAGGAAACCTCACAGAACGGGCAAATGCCTGATAGTCATTGGCAGCTCTGTCACTGGTTCTCTCAGAGTATGACTGTAATTTTCTATTTCCGTCTTTGCGCTTCTGATGAGCGGCGTTGACGAGAACTATTTTCTTCTCTGATACTTGTGAAGTGTTAGGTGAAAGATTTGGATTCAGCTTGGTTCTAAAATATAAACAATCAACAAAGGTCATGGCCCAAGTTAGCGAAGATCCAGGATTGTGTACTTGACTTGGAGTGAGTGACATTTTCCAGGGCAGGTGATTTGAATGACTAGAATTTTTCCAGAACAAGTTTAGAGTCAAGAGGCAAAATAGCAGAGCCTCTCTTGCAATCCCTTTGATAAATACCAGACAGTCTACACTTCAGGGGCTTTTCAGCGTAACTGACTTATTTTGAGTTCAATTTTAGTATAAGCAGAAGTAGAAAGCTTTTTATTTTTAATTTGAGAATTTAACCTGAGATGACAACAAATTAGATATATTTTTCTCAAAGCATGCAGCGTGGTTCTCCTACGCCTCAGAATGATAGAATGTGACTGTTTAACTTAAAAACAAAGGAAGTTCAGAGACTGACAGGGAAGGGCCTGGCGTGCCTGGCTCCAGCCTAAACTTTTGAACATTCAGAGGAAGCTGCTCCGTGCTCCCCCCCTCTCACCTGCCTCCTCCTGCCCTGTATGGAGGATGTGCAGGCAAGGGCCCTTGCGAAGTTTTGGGGTAAGAGCTTTAGAGGACACAGACTTAAATCTCATTATCTCTCAGCCTGTCATTCGGGGCCCCTTACCACTGTCTAGAGGAGATTGTCAGATGCACTGACATCTTTCAGCATTGGCTTTAACAGTGGCTGATGTATTCTCAACTTCTAAAGACATAACTTTTTCTTATAGGTGATTTTAAGTAGGGTAGTCAGTAGATGAGGTGTGTATGTGTGTGTTTATATGTATGTGTGTGTGTATTTGTATGTATGTGTGTTTATATGTGTGTTTGTGTGTATGTTTGTATGTATGCTTGTATATATGTGTGTTTGTATGTTTATATGTGTTTATGTGTGTTTGTATGTATGTATGTGTGTTTATATGTGTGTATTTGTGTGTATGTGTATATTTGTATGTATGTGTGCATATATGTGTTTGTATGTTTATATGTGTTTATGTGTATGTTTGTATG